CTTTCAGGAAGATAGCTACAAGGGGAACATCTGAGTCAACTGAAATTTCTAATTTTAGTTTTTTGAGGAATTGCCATACTAAATTCCATAATGACTGTACCAGTTTACAAGTGCATCAATAAAGTAGAGGGGTTCCTTGTCCCCCACAGCCTCACCAGCATTTGTTATTATTTGATTTCTTGATGGTGGCTATTCTTTCTGGAATAAAATGGAATCTCAGTGTTATGTTAATTTGCATTTCTCTAATGGCCAAAGATGATGAACATTTTTTCATGTATTTATTAGCCACTTGTACTTTCTCGGAATATCTATTCATTTTAGTTGCCCAGTTTTTGACCGGGTGTTTCATTTTGGAGGGTCTGTTTTTTTTATACATTTTTATGTAGTCTGGATCCTCTGAGGAATAGTTAGCAAAAAATGTTTCCCATTCTATAGGTTGTCTCTTTGCTCCATTGGTTGTTTCCTTTGCCATGAAGAAGCTTTTAAATGTGATATTACCCCATTTGTTGATTCTCGATGTTATTTCTTGGGCAATTGTTCTATTCAGAAAGTCCTTGCCTATACCGATTCTCCGAAAGTTTTACCTATTTGATCTTCCAGCATACTGTTTCTGTTTTAACATTTAGATCTTTGATTTATTTTGCTTTTGGTTTAACACATGGTGAGAGACATGGGTCTAGATGTAACCTTCTGCATGTGGATAGCCAGTTTCCCCAGCACCACTTGTTAAAGTGGCTATCTTTCCTCCAGTGTTATGCTTTTGGCTCCTTTGTCAAAGATCAGATAGCTAAATGTGCCTGGGGTTGTTTCTGCATTCTCCTGTTCTGTTCAGCTCACCCACATGTCTGTTTTTGCACCAGCACCATGTTGTTTTTATCAATGTAGATTTGTAGTGTAACTTAAAGCTAGGATTGTGATGCCTCTTGCTTTGCTCTTATTGCCCAGGAATACTTCTGCTATTCTGGGTCTCTTCTAGTTCCACATGAATTTTAGGATTGTTTTCTTTAGTTTTGTGAGGAATGCTTGGTATTTTGATTGGAACTGAGTTAAATGTCTGTGTCAGTTTTGAAAATACGGTCATTTTGACAATAAGGGTTCTGCCTATCCAGGAACAGGGGATCTCTTTCAATTTTATGATATCTTCTTTAATCTCCTTTTTAAAGTACTGTAGTTTTTTTTTTTTTTTTTGGTTTTTTGGTTTTTCTCCGGTACCGGGAACTGAACTCACGACCTTGCGCTTGCCAGGCAGGCGCTTTTGCCGCTGAGCTAAATCCCCAGCCCCTAGTACTGTAGTTTTTGTTGTAGAAGTCTTTTACTTCCTTGATTAGGTTAATTCCTAAATACTTAATTTTTCTTTTTTTTCTGGTACCGGGAATTGAACTTAGGACCTTGCGCTTGCCAGGCAGGCGCTGTGCCGCTGAGCTAAATCCCTAGCCCCAATACTTAATTTTTCTTGATGCTACTGTAAATGATATTGTTTTCATAAGTTCTTTCTTCATAACTTTATTACTACTGGTGTATAGGAATACTACTGATTTTTGTGTAATGATTTTGCATCCTGCTATGGTGTTGGTATTATCTGTAGTGACAGGTCCCGAGAATGAGGTCTTTCCCCCATACTATGCTAGTAAGTTTGGTTATTAATTCTAGGAGTCTTTTGGTAGAATTTTTGGGTTGTCTGTGTAAAGGACCATGTCATCTTCAAATAATGATAATTTGACTTCCCTTCCTCTACAAACCCCATTTCTTTCTTGCTCTGGGTAATGTTTTGAGTGCTGTATTAAACAGATGTGATGAAAGTGGACATCCTTGTCTTATTCCAGATTTTAGAAGAAAAGCTTTCAGTTTTCCTCCATTTAATATAATGTTGGCAGCAGGTTTGTCAAAAATGGCTTTTATCAAATTGAGATAGGACCCTTCTAAACCGTCTTCAGCCTTTTTTTAAAATCATCAATGATGTTGGATTTTACCAAAGGTTTTTTTCTGTCTACTGAGATGATCATATAATTTTTGTCCTTGCTTCTGATTATGTGATGTATTAGATTTATTGATCTGTATATGTCGAACCACCCCTGCATTCCTAGGATGAAGCTTACTTGGTCATGAAGAATGATCTTTTGGATGATTGCTGCATTCTGTTTGCCAGAATCTTGTTGACTATTTTTGCATCTATATTCTTTAAAGAGATTGGTCAACAGTTCTATTTTTGGTTGGGTCCTTGTCTGGTTGCAGAATCCGGGTAATGCTAACTTTTAGGAATGACTTTGGGAGTACTCCCCTTCCCTTTCAATTTCACTGAAGAGCTTGAGTAATATTGGCATTAGATCATCCCTTAAGTTCTTGTAGAATTAAGTAATGAGCCCACTGGGTCTTGGGCTTTTTTTGTTGATAGGTTGTTTTTATTTTTTAAAACTGCTTCTATTTCATTGCCTGTTATTGGTTTATTCTGGGTTTTTTGTTTGTTTTTGTTTTTTAAGGGAGTTTTGCTATGTAGTTCAAGCTACCCTTGAACTCTATGTAGCCCAGGGTGGTCTCAAACTTGTAGCAATCCTGCCTTGGCCTCATTCAGGGTTTTTGTATCTTCCTGCTTCAGTTATGGTAACTGCTATTTTCCACCTATTTCTTCTGGATTTTCCAAATGATTGGAATACAGGTTTTCAAAGTAGTTATTAATAATCTTCTGGAGTTTGGTAGGGTCCATTGTGATTTCTTCTTTTTCATTTTTAATTGCACTGATTTGGGTTTTTTTTCCTCTTATAAGTAAGACTAGCTAAGGGTTTATCTATTTTGTTTATTCTTTCAAAAAGCTAGCTCTTTGATTAACGGATTCTTTGTATTTTTTTGCCTCAATTTCATTCATTTCTGCTTTGAACTTCATAACTTCTTTCCCTGTACACTAAGTCTCTGATTTATGAACTTTTGAGGTACAAACTTTCACACGTGTACTGCTGCTGGCTACAAATGAATCCAACTTATGAACAATTCTCCCAGAATGGAACTTGTCTGTTCGTTTTGGATTATTGTTGTTTCTCTAGGGACTTGAGGTGAATCATTAGGTTATTTATTTGGACTTGTTGTTTTTCTAATGTGAGCATTAACTGCTATAAACTTCCCTTTTAGGACTACTTTCATTGTATCTTATGGATTCTGCTATGTTGTACTGACATTATAATTTGATTTTAGGAACTGTCTAACTCCTTCCTTGATTTCTTTTGTGACTCACTGATTATTCAAGAGTGTATTGATTTTCATAATTTCTGTGGCTTTTTTTGCCATTGGATTTTTTTTTTTTTTTTTTTTTTTTTGTCTTTGTCAGACAGGGTTTTACTATGCAGTTCAGGCTGGCCTTGAACTCACTTTGTAACCCAAGCTGGCCTCAAGATTGCAGCAATCCTGCTGCCTCAGCCTCCTGAGTTCTGGGATTATAGACACGTGCCACCATGCCCAGCCAAAATTTTGATTCTTTTGCATTTACTTAAGCATGACTTATGGGCTAGTATGTGGTCTCTTTTGGAGAAAGTTCCACGTGCTGTCAAGAGAAATGTACATTCTGTTGTTGTAGGGTAGAATATTCTGTAAATATCATTACTATTATAGTCTAAGAACACCTGTTATGTCCCCTGAAAGTAATGACAGGTGGGGCTTTTGGAAGGTGACTGGATCATGAGTGTCATGGAATATTCTGTAAATATCATTACTATGATAATCTAAGAACACCTGTTATGTCCCCTGAAAGTACTGATAGGTGGGGCTTTTGGAAGGTGACTGGATCATGGGTGTCATGATACTAGATTAGTTCACTGATGGGTTCAGAGCTAGGTGTGATGTTGGGAGGTAAAACATGGTGGGAAGAGGTGGGTCACTGTGGGTGTGGCCTGGAAGAGTTAATATATCCCTCTTCTTCGCTTGAGCTCTGTTCTGCTTCCTGGCTGCCATGCCATGAGCTCTTTCCCCTCTGCATTGTTGCCCTACCTTGCAGCCAGCTGGCTATGGACTAAAACATCTACAAACTGTTAGCGAAAATAAACTTCTCCTGCCTCCTTTAACTTGTGAGTATTGGGTAACTTGTTCCAATAACAAGAAAACTGACTAAGACAACCTTTTCAAATAAGAGGCGAGGGCACACACAAAACTCCAGGGCATAATTTGATAAACAGAAAATCATGATGAAAAAAAAAATCCTTCATACAGTAGCATTTTTCAAACTTAAATGATCATTTAAATACAATGTTAGATGATCTCTCCTCCCTGTCATGATCTTTTGATGGCAGCTTTACTGTTGTCCTAGACAAAACATGCCACTTCTATGAGAAACCACTTTGAAGATATCAATATGTAATACAGCAGGCATTGTTAATGTCCTACCACTTTGTTTGTAACTCTGTATTGTTTGCACTGTTCTTTTGCTATTTTGTAAAAGGTTGTCTGTCTGTTAATGTTTTCCTCCTTTTATTTTTAAAATAAAAAAAAATAACAAAACACACCACTTCTACATGAGAGCCCACATACTGTTGCCCTCTGGTGATCAAGTATTTAGAGTCCAGCTTCGACCATAGACGCAGCTTATCAGGCAATGGAGATTTACATAAGAGGGCTGAAAAATCCATAAAATCCATAAAATTACAGACTAGAAGAAAAACAACAGGAACTCAACATGTTTAGAAGTAACTATTGCCTAGAAATAAGATATTAACTATAGCATACAAATTATGGCCTAATATCACCCACCAAAAGGTAATATTGACAAGGAAACATGACAAAGAAAGACAGTATTTCTTTTAGTAGTTGTTAAAATGCAATGAAGCTGTTAGAAACCTGTAATCTACATTTTTAAACACTTTGAATACTTGTTTTGTTACTCTATAAGATTAATTTAGAAACAACTTAACAAAAATAAACTACACAGCACTGATAAGGTTACCACAGACTGAGCAGAGGAAACACGGATGAATAATGTTCGCTATGTAAGAGGGACAACAGATAAAAGGTGAATGGCTCACCTCTTCTGTCCTTCGAGTCAGAATTACCTGTGTAGTAAGTGAAAAACAGAAATATTCACTCAGGTTAAAGAAAAACATTACTATTCAACTAAAGATCAAACAAGCTCTAGGAATATAGATATATGAATAATGTTGAGGGTAGAATGAAACATCCTCGAACAAGTGGGAAACAGGTTGCCCAGATTCACTGAACTGTAATCTGTAGTCTGACCTTCACTGTAGCACTGATATTCATAAAAAGTTCAGGAATGCAAGGAGAAATACAAATACATGCTATTCGGACTTTGTACCTTTTCAATAACTAAAATGCAAGAGGACAAAATTAAGAATATAAAAGACCTCACTGGTAAAAGGTAATAAAATCTATTTAGTAGACACATATTTAAATATATGTATTATATATATCTATATATATCTATATAGTAATATATATTTTTTTACATTCTGACAGAAAACTTTCTTTTCAAAGACCTGTGGCATATTCCCAAGCCCTTATAAATTCCTGATAGTACAAACAATGCAATATTCTTTTATCAAGATGTAATAAAACCAGAAATTAACAAAGTAAAAAACACTTGAAAATTAAAACAAAAATTTGGAAACATCAAAAAAATATCCATGATGGAAACACTTTTGTGGTAGAACCCACCAACTCTCCCCTAATATTTATTTCTGCCTCTTCTTGCCTTTGGTATTATCATCCTGTTCATTGGCTGAGCACAAAGTAGTCCAACTAGAGATCCTGTATGTTACGTGTAGTCAGCTTTTGGAAAAGAAATTGTTTGTTTCCACTCCTTTTTCTTCAGGGGCTGGAACTAGAGTCTAATGTTGAGAGAGGATAATCAAGCAGATAAAAGCAACCTCATTGGGATGGTAGGGTCACACTGAAAAGAGACTTGGTCTCTAACGAGGCAAAACCTCTACCCACCTCCAGGCAGAGAAACACACTTTGGTCTTATTTTAGTCACTGAATTTTGGTTTATCTTTGCCAAGTAGCTTAGGTTGCACTCTAACACAACTACCTACAGGAATAGCTCAACATTAAATGTTGACTAACTAGAGAGAATAAAAACAATTAATAATTCAAGACAAAAACAGTACAAAATAAATCAAAAGAGGGCAGAAAGAATAAGAATAAAGATCCAAAAAAATGAAAAGTGACAAAATTAGTAAGTAATAGTAGTTTCTTTGGAAGAAAAAATAATAAATATAGTCAACTGAAATAAGGGGATAACAAATATATAAAATGAAAAATATTTGTAGTTATGAAGGAAATTAAACAATTTTAAGAGTTGACTTTTTCTCAAATTCATTTAAATAAATTCAAAAATATTAATGAAAGGCATAGTTTTGAGGCTTCTCAAATGCTAGGCAAGTGCTCTACCTCTGAGCTATATCCCTGGTCCTTTTTTTTCCCCCAGCTCTTTTAAAAAATTTTATTTTGAGACATAATCTCCCTAAGCTACCCAGGCTGGCCTCAAGCTTGTGATCCTCCTGCCTTGGTCTCCTAAATACATAGGACTAGTGGCTTGTGCCACCATGGCTAGTAAAATGTGTAGTTTGACTATAAACTTTCAAATTCTTTTCATGAAGCAAAATAAAACACTAATAACTGAAATTTATCAAAAATAGCACACAAGGGGGCTGGGGATTTAGCTCAGCGGCAAAAAGCGCCTGCCTGGCAAG